TGTAGTTTTCCGAGTACAGGTCTTTTACATCCTTGGTTAAGTTTATTCCTAGGTATCTTATTTTTTTAGTTGCAATGGTAAATGGTATTGCTTTTTTAGTTTCTCTCTCTGAAAGTTCATTGTTGGTGTATATGATGCCATTGATTTCCGGATGTTGATTTTGTATCCAGCTACCTTGCCAAATTTGTTTATCAAATCTAGTAGTACTTTGATGGAGTCTTTAGGGTTTTCTATGTACAGTATCATGTCATTTGCAAATAATGACAGTTTTACTTCCTCCTTTCCAGTTTGGATGCCTTTTATGTTTTCTTCCTGTCTGATGGCTATGGCGAGGACTTTCAGTACTGTGTTGAATAAGAGTGGTGACAGTGGACATCCCTGTCTTGTTCCTGTTTTTAATGGAAATGGTTTTAGTTTTTGCCCATTGAGTGTGATGGTGGCCATAGGTCTGTCATATATTGCCTTTATTATGTTGAGGTATGATCCCTCTATTCCCACTTTGTTGAGAGTTTTTATTAGAAATGGGCGCTGGATTTTGTCGATTGCATTTTCTGCGTCTATTGATAAGATCATATAATTTTTGTCCATTTTGTTTATGTGATGTATCACATTTATTAATTTGTGAATCTTGTACCAGCCTTGCATCCCTGGAATAAATCCCACTTGGTCATGATGTATGATCTTTTTAATATATTGCTGGATCCGGTTTGCTAGTATTTTAGTGAGGATTTTAGCATCTATGTTCATCAGGGATATTGGCCTGTAATTTTCTTTCTTTGTAGTATCTTTATCTGGTTTTGGGATTAGGATGATGCTGGCCTCATAAAAAGAGTTTGGGAGTTTTCCCTCCTCTTGAATTTTCTGGAATAGTTTGAATAGAATAGGTGTTAATTCTNATTAATTCTTCTTTGACTGTTTGGTAAAACTCGCCTGTAAATCCATTTGGTCCAGGACTTTTGTTTGCTGGGAGTTTTTTGATTACTGCTTCAATTTCATTAATTGTTACCGGCCTATTCAGCTTTTCTGCCTCTTCTTGATTCAGCTTTGGAAGGTTGTATGCTTCTAGGAATTTGTCCATTTCCCCCATGTTGTCCAATTTGTTGGCATATAGTTGCTCATAATATTTTCTTACAATCCTTTGTATTTCTGTTGGGTCAGTTGTTATATCGCCTCTTTCATTTCTGATTTTATTTATTTGGGTCCTCTCTCTTTGTTTCTTAGTGAGTCTGGCTAAAGGTGCATCAATCTTATTTACCTTTTCAAAGAACCAGCTCTTGGTTTCATTGATTTTTTGTATTGTTTTTTTAGTCTCTATGTCATTAATCTCTGCTCTGATTTTTATTATTTCCTTCCTTCTACTTCCTCGGGGCTTTTCTTGCTGTTCTCGTTCTAGTTCTTTTAGTTGTTGTGTTAGATGGTTCATTAGATCTTTTTCTTGTTTCTTGAGATAGGCCTGTAATGCTATGAATTTTCCTCTCAGGACTGCTTTCGCCGTGTCCCATAGGTTTTGGGTTGTTGTCTGTTCATTTTCGTTACTTTCCATGAAGTGTTTGATTTCTTCCTTGATCTCATTGGTAACCCATTCATTGTTTAATAACATGCTATTTAGCCTCCATGTGTTTGAATATTTTTGAGTTTTTTTATAGTGGTTGATTTCTAGTTTCATGGCATTGTGATCCGAGAAGATGCTTGATATGATTTCAATCTTCTTATATTTGTAGAGACTTGCCTTGTGCCCTAACATGTGGTCTATTTTTGAGAATGTTCCATGTGCACTTGAGAAGAATGTGTATTCTGCTGCTTTGGGGTGAAATGTTCTATAAATGTCAATTAAATCCATTAGGTCTAGTGAGTCATTTAAGGTCTGCGTTTCCCTGTTGATTTTTTGTCTTGATGATCTGTCCAATGCTGACAGTGGGGTGTTAAAGTCCCCCACTATGATTGTGTTGCTGTCAATCTCCCCTTTAAAGTCTCTCAAGAAATTTTTTATATATTCAGGTACTCCTGTATTGGGTGCATAAATGTTTATAAGGGTTATTTCCTCCTGTTGGATTGATCCCTTTAGTAATATGTAGTGACCATCTTTGTCTCTTGTTATGGTCTTTATTTTGAAGTATGTTTTGTCAGAAATAAGAATTGCTACTCCAGCTATCTTTTCCTTTCCATTTGCATGGAATATTTTACTCCACCCCTTTACTTTTAGCCTGTGTGAGTCTTTTGCTCTCAGGTGGGTCTCTTGTAGACAGCATATATTTGGGTCCTGTTTTCTTATCCATTCAGCTACCCTTTGTCTTTTGATTGGGCCATTTATTCCATTTACATTTAAGGTTACTATTGATATCAACTTATTTAATGCCATTTTTCCTTTTTATGCTGATGTACCTTTCTCTCACTATTCCTTCTTTTTCTTAGAGGTATTGTTCTTTACCTTCATTTCATGTATCGACGTTTCATGTGGTTCATCTACAATCAAAGTGATATCTAGCATAGTTTGATCTTTTTCATTTTTAAAGATTTAATTGACAGGGGACTTCCTTTTCTTAGTGCCTACAAATGCCTTTAGCAAAACACTTTTCTTGGCTTAGGATAATGTGTCTAGTGGTGAAATTTATCCAGTGAGCACTGGGGTTTGTGGTATAACCCTTTAAGTTGCATGGGAGCCTACTTTCATTTGAGGTGTCAGTTATTTGATTCTAAAAGATTTTTACTTCAGTAAGTATTGGGGAAGCAACAATTCAAGGCTGACATTAGGAAGATGAATCTGGATCACAGAATTGGTGAGTGTGTTGAAGCGCTAATGTGCTCTGTGTTCAATTATTACTTGCAGAGTTATGTGTATGCATCAGGTTTTTTCTATGCTTTCTGAAAATGCACCTGAGAGTTGTTTTTAGTTGGTGTACAGGTAGATATGTCCTTTCAGACATGAGTTATTGTTTTTATTATTAGACATCGGGTGAGAACATTTGTCTGTCGAAGCATTGCCGGATCTCTCCTGCTCTGCCCCACGCCTTACCTACCCATAGTTTACCTTCCTGTTTGTTTGCACCACTCTTTCCCACTGAAAATGCATTTCTTTTTTCCATTTCCTCTTCGCCTGTCATCCCCAGGGTGGACCGAATGTGACATGGCCGCTCCCTCCCCCCAGCTCTGCTGCTCCCGCCCTGGCACCCCCTCATCCTTCTCAGCAGTGGCTTTGCTTGGTATTTCATTGGGAAATGGGAGGACTCACTGTCACTTGCCCCTACTCCTTCCAGCTTTCCTCTGCAGAAGTGGTCCCTTCCTGCCTTCCAGCTACCTTCTTTCCCTGTGCTCTGGACCCCACACTCCCACCCGCTCTGTCATCTGGTCTCTCTTCTGTATCTTCAGCCCCTCCTCACTTGTCTATTGCCTTGCCTTTTTTTTAACATCAAGTTCAAGTCAGTCCTACTTTATACAAACAAACAAAATGGAGCCACACCCTCCCTGGCTTCTGCCTCAGCTGTCTTCTTTCCATCACAGCTCCGCTTGCAGTGGTCGCCCTGCTCTCTGGAACTGCTTTCTCAATGTCCGTTTACTCCGCGTTTCCCTGGAGTCTGGCTGCTCCTGCCGCTCCCCTGAAGGGGCATCATCCCAGCCCCGGGCCTGTCAGTGTCAGGCTCCTTCCTGTGTTGTCTGACACATGGCCCTTCCGCACTGCTGCTTCCTCCCCTGCAGCCTCCTCTTCTGGGATATCGTTTCTCTCCTTTTCATGTCTTTGTCTTAGCCGTTCATTTTAGTCTCCTTTTGTCCTTTGGCTTGTGCCTTAAGTATTGCCATCCCCGAGGGTGCTACGCTTGTCACTAGTAGTGAATCTTCTAATGCTTGTAACTGCAGTTCCCCATTTTCCAGCCTGTTCATTTCCGGTTCATCGTTCCATGAGTATTTACTTCGTATTCTGTCCAAAGTGTAAATCTCTGACATGCCACAGCTGAAAACCCTTTGTGGTATTGCATTTCAGGAAACGGCAAACTCCAGGGCTCAGCAGACGCTGTTCTTTACCACCTGGCCCCTCCCTCCACCCGGCACGTTTCTCCTGGCTTCCCTTCACACCTGCTTTTCAGGCTTGCGGACTGACTGCACTTCCCCACGTGCTGTGCCCTTGCCCCTGCCCCTTCCTCACCTACTAGACCATTGACTCTCTAAAGCTCACGGGAAGTGTCGCCCTCTGGGAGGCTCTGTCACACTCTCAGGGTGGGCTCCATGCCCTCTTTCTTTGAGACTATACTCTGCAGTCCTTTCCTCTCTCCACATCAGTCATGGTTTTTATCGGATTATGTTTCCTGTGAGGTGGAGAGATCTTTGAAGGAGAGACCTCATCCTACTCAGTTTTATATTCCTAATACCTGGAATGGTGCTTAGCTCATAGTAGGTCCTCACTAGACAACTGTTAGTCTAGGAGTGGGATAAGTAAGGCTTAGTAAGAGGCACTACAGGTTTAGGTCACCTTAGATATTTTGCATCAGTTAGAATCTGTCATTTTGTCAATCTGATCAAATGTAGGAGTCAAATTGCTGTCTGTGGAGCATCTGTAGGAAAACCGTTCATTTGTCTAGGAGCCCACACATTTACATTGAGGCTGAGAAAACGCCTATTAGAGTTGGTCACTCAGCAAGTGTTTACTGAATGCCTTCCACGTGGGAGGCCCTGCAGATGGACAGGTGCTGAAGAGGAGTATGAAAGCCAAACAGTGTTTCTGGAGCAGAATGTTATGGTGAAAATAGGGTTAATTTGGTATCATTAATTATATTTTCCTGCCTGTTAATGTCAGAATTAAATAGACAGATCTATGTAGAACTGCTCTGTAAACTGTGATTGGCCTATGGATTTAAGATACTTGTCTTTCTCTTACCATTTTTTCAGAATTTTTTGCTGATTGTATGATTCATTTGAAACAGTATGATCCTGATATATTTGATAAATAACCAACATTTTGTACTAAAAATGAATGTTATTGTTGATGTGATTTTATGTAACTTGATTACAAGGATTGATTCTACGTAGAAGGCTTTTCCTTGAGGATCGTTGGCACAGCTGTGGTCTCAGACTCAATGTTACCTTCTACTTCAGGTCGACTGCGCACTATCCCTGATTCGGCTTGGAATGGAGCGGAACATTCCCGGCTTGTTCGTTCTGTGCGATAACTTGGTTACTCTGGAAGCATTGGTCTACGAGGCCGGGTGCGACCTAACCCTGACCTTGAAGGAGCTCCAGCAGATGAAAGACATTGAAAAACTAAGATTACTGATGAATAGTGTAGGTTTAATTTTAACTTTCTTTTTAAATACTCTTTGTGTACTTTGATTAATGTATGCCTCAAAGCCAAAGATGAAATGTCCTCTAAACCCGAGAACTTAAGTAAATTAAGTAAGTTTCTTGACGTTCTGAAAAACGATTCCATTGTCTGGGTAAGTTAATGAAGACACTCGAAACTCTCCTGGTTAGTTGTACCTGGCTTCCCCTTTGTCCACACTCCTCTCTGGGTAACTTTCCTCTCCCTTCCATTGAGGCACATTTCTAAACTAGCTGTCATTCTAGTGTTCATGCTTCTAACCTCCACTGTGTTAACATTAACAACTGCGTATATATTTCAAGGTCTGTAAAAAAGTACTGGGGTTCAGACGGCTAGGTGTGTGTGTGTGAAGGAAACATCTTGACTTCAGGGTTAGTATGTTTAGGAGAATTTGCCTGTTTCTTAGATTTTTGGGGGGTCACCTAAGGAGAAAGTACATTCCTAAAGTTAGGATCTGGTTTCTACTAAGCCCACTGTTTAGAGAGACATCTTTGACTCAAGATGATGGGCTGAGGAGGTCCTAGCTGCCTAGTAGCTTGTTTCTTCTGCTCTTGGGCAGCCTGGTGTGAACGGCTGAGTCAGGTGGGGTCATAGCTACCCAATAGTTCTCTTTTCTCCCTCGACTCCTCCTGTCTTCTCTTGTGCTGTCTTTTCACCTTCCTTCCTCTTTCCCACCCTCTCCCCCCTCTTTCCCCCTCTATCAGTCCCCCTTTGTCTCTCCCTCTGCCCTTGCCTTCCCTTTCTCTCATGAATATTAATTTCTTTTCTGATCATCCGCCCAGTGAAATTGATTTGTGTTATGTGTCAGACTCCTTTTAGGAGATGTAGGTGTCTCTGATGGAGTAACTAAGAGAGGGAATTGTGTGATTTCAGGGATAATTTGTGAAATTATGTGTGCCATTTGAGCTCTGTGAAGGCAGATGTAAAGGGGCAAAACCAAACAGGAGGAGAAACAGAGAGGGAGAGAATACGGAATTTTATAGATGTGGCTGTTCTCAAGTGGCTGCTGTCTAGAGCTTCTCTGTCCCTGCCTCTGTGTCTCTGCTTTTTTGTTTCGCACTTTCTGTTGGTCTGTGCTCTCTCTCTTTCTCTTTCTTTGACTCTCCTCACCCCCTGCATACACACTTGCTTTAGTCTGGTATAAACAGATATTTAATTTGATTTAATGCGTGTTTATTTTTCAATTATATTTTCAGTGTTCTGAGGACAAGTATGTGACAAGCGCCTACCAGTGGATGGTTCCCTTCCTTCATCGCTGTGAGAAGCAGTCTCCTGGTGTGGCCAAGGAGCTGTTAAGAGAGTATCTGGTGACTTTAGCTAAAGGGGACTTGAAACTTCCCTTGAAGATATTTCAGCATTCCAAACCAGATGTAAGTAGGAACTTGGACATCTCAAACACCCCCGCACTCTTTCCTTTACAGAATTAGGTTTTATTATCAATTTTTTATAAGAGGCTTTACAAGTAATTCCCCTTTAAACAGAAAAGGAGGTGGTCATCATTTAATCCCTTAAAAATGTTTCAACAGTTCGATCCAAAATTGCATTGGAAGTTCATAAAATTATGTTTATTTTAACTGATTTACTCCAGAGTTTGTTGACTATTATATTTTGGAAACTGGCAATACCAAAAAGACTAACAGTTGGTAGGTTGAATTCTTACTATCAGCAGGCACATTGCAAGTGTTAACTCATTTAATCCTTATAACAATCCTATGATTGTTAAAATAAAAGATATTTTTATTATATTATATTATGGGAAAAGAAAATTGTGATATAGAGAGGTTGTGTGATTGCCCGGGTCCCATAGTGAGGAGTGGACTGCGTTCTTAACATGTGCTTTACTGTAATACCAATATTAGGAGAAGAGACTCCTGCCCTGAGGTCCTTCACAAAGGTTTTTAATGAAAACCTTTAGGATTTCATAAGATCTTGTAATTATTTTTAACTCTATTTGCTTAAGATTACTATACTGATAGCTCTGTATTTCCATCGGGCTCAAGCAGTTGTTTAGAGTTTTGGTTTCTGGAAGGCTCATCTGTCAGAAGTGTACCTGTTCATTGGCTCTTTAAAATTTCCCATCTTCTCACATGCAGCTACTGCTTAGTATTCCGATTTTAAGTCTGGAAAGCGTCAGGAGCCGGGGTGGGTTGCTGATGCCCGCAGAATGCTCTGAGGAGCAGGATGGATTGAGTATGAATGTTTTATGAGGAAGAAAGAAGAACTTTAAATTCTTGTCAGTAATCTTGTTTGTGATACTTCTCCTTACAGAGTCTTATAAATCCTGTGTGTATAGTCAGTTTTTTGTTGTTTTGCTTGGCAATTTAGCATGTGCTTTCTGAATAAAACATACAGCTGCCTGAGATATGTAAACATAAAAAAGAGAGCAGTGGTGTTGCGAGCCTTCTCTTTCCCATCCAGCTTCTCCGTTCCCTAGTGTCATCTTTCTACCATACACTGGATCATGTCACCGTCTGTGGAAAGCCTCCAGTCGCTACTGTTGCTACAGGGTAAACATTGGGCGCTCTCGAGTGGCCTGGAAGGCTCTTCGTGGTCTGCTCTAGTCTGCCTCCTCAGCCTCCCTTCCCTCCATGGGTGCGCTAGGTCACAGGCTCTGAACTTCTCACCTCTTCACCTGTCATGCCTCTTTGTGTTCTTGTGGGCTCTTCCCTTTGTTTGGGAGAGTCAGTCCCCTTTCCTGCATTTAAAAAACACCTACCTCTCCTTCAAGACCTTGCTCTCTGAGATCCTCTCTCCTGTGACCCTTCTGTGACTTCCCTGAGACATGACAGGTCTTGTTCCTGCCTCTGTAATAACCCATCTCACACTGTGGTGTAGTGATTTGTTCGCATGCTCCTCTCCCCCTCCCTTTGCTTCCTGTGTGCATCCTCAGTGTCTTACATATTTATTACTAACATGTGCCTTGTAGAGAGCAAACGGTTGGTAAATGTTGGCAGGCAAATGGATGAATGAGTGAATGATTGAAATTGGGTTTTATTTTGATGCTTTAGTGACTTGATGACGTTTGATGCTTTACTGGGATTGCATTTAGAACATTGCTTTTATTTTACTTGATTGTTTATAAACAGAATGTTTCTGGGATCTTCCATGAATCATGCAGAGTAGTTTTTGTAATGTAACAGGAACAATGATTTCTGTGTTTGACAGCTTAGGCTAAGTTATGCTGAATTAACAAATGACCTCTAAAGCTTAGTAGCTTACAACAGCAAATACTCATTTCTCATTAAGCAGTCCCTTAAATGCAGTGTCGTGTAGGCTGTGGCTGGGCTCCTGTTGGGTCCCATGTCTTACTCATTCCCGGGCTCAGGCTGAAGGAGCAGTCCTTTCTCTAACTTGCGGCACAAGGAAAAGAGCAAATAGAACCACAAAGTGGCTCTTCCAGTTTCAGCTCAGAGTGGTTTGGGTTACTTCCTCTCACATGTCACAGGCCAGAGGAGGTGCATGGCTGAGCTGGGAGGGATAATCCTCTCTCAGGAAGGTGGGTGGGTGTAATCAGGAACAGGAACCCGAATACAGATTTGTCATTTTTACATTCTCCTGTCCCTCACACTTTTCTTCTCTGTAACGTCCTAAAGCACTCATGTCTGGTTTAAGCCTTTGCTCCTTGCTCGATCTGCCTTTGGAAAGTGAACTGGGTGGAGATGATTTAGGAATAAAATATTCTTCCTTCTCATGTTGCTCTCTGTCTTCTGTGCTAGTGCACTTCGAATGCATCAGTGCATCAGACCATGTGAATTTTTTAAAATTTTAGTTTCTTAGGCCCATCCCAGGTATATAATAGGTTAAAATTTGGGGAGTGTGGGGGTTCTGTGATAATGGGTTTGGAAATTTATCCAGTGATTCTGATGGAATGCCAGGATTAGGAACAACCGCTTTACACAGGAATTCACTGCATATCATAGTTTCTTAGGGCCAAGTTTTCAGTTATTTTCTGGTTACATAGGTCAGTGGGCAATTTTAGTTTTAAAATTACTTCCTCTAACTTAATGCTTATTCTAGAATATTTAGAAAACTCAGAAAAACACAAAGATGGAAATAAAAATTTGGGGGGCAATATTATTGACTAGATAATCTGAAATTAGGAAACGTTAGCAATTTCAATTAATTTTTAATAATGCTTTTATTACGCCTGCTTGTCTATTTCACTAGGTTGTCACTTTGCAACCTTGGACAACTTTTTGTCAAATGTTGATGTCACATTAATGATTTTTTTTTTCTTAACACCTTGAAGAAAGGTACATAAATCCTCTAACTCAACTACTTTATTTATTTATTTTTTTAAAATATGTCTTTATTGATTTCAGAGAGAGGAAAGAAGAGGAGGAGAGAGAGATAGAAATATCAATGATGAGAGAGTCATTGATGGGCTGCCTCCTGCACACCCCCGTTGGGGATCGTGCCCGCAACCCGGGCATGTGCCCTGACCGGGAATTGAACCCCGATCGCCTGGATCCTAGGTCGACGCTCAACCGCTGAGCCACGCCCAGCCGGGCTCAGCTACTTTAAAAAGTCTTTATTTCTCTGGTAACCTTGAATGTTTCTTCTCTCCACCCATTGATGTGATTTTCCTACTGAGAAAATGCCTTCCTGTGGCAGTTTCCCTCTATCACATTCCCATCTGTTTTGTGTTTCTCCCAGAATGTTGAAAACTAGTAGGTCTTATTATGGAAACGATCTTAAACTTATTTTGTTGTCAAAAGGTCTCTAAAAAAGTAGTTTGAAACTTCCATTTTGGTTTCAATGGTGGTAATAATACAAGCTTTCTGCATGTGTCATTTTGTCCACACAACAGTGCTGTCTATTAGGAAGTTGTTAATATCCGTGCTTTATAGATGAGAAAAACAAAGATCAAATCTGTTATTTTCATGTCCCAGAAAATACTCTAAGATTGGAATCTGTGGTTTGCAGTAGGAAATGGTGTATCCTATATAGAAATTGACCCAAAGTAGCCATCTTTCTGCGTCAGAAATATGGAATCTGTTCTGGGATTTGAATATCCCTGCATTACAGTGCAACTTCTTTTGAGTGGAATTTCAGTACTGTTTAGTTAAATGACTAATATATATGCATCTTGAAAAATAATAGGTTTGAACATCCCTGAATATTAGTTAAGGAATTTTATATATTTTTGAAATTGAAACACATAAAATTTGGCTTTAGGGTTAAAAATGCTTTTAATGAGTTGCCTTTTTAATTCACTGTCTCTTGTATCTTGAATGGGTTGTAAATTGAAGAATCTGCTTTTAGCAGATGCAAAGCTTATGGGTACAAATGATCTTTTCTGGCCGATTCTATAATTAAAATGTGATTTCATTTAGAATTATTAAAGATTCTCAAAGTCTGTAAGCTAAAGAAATATCAAGATGTGTTTCTGTAGCTGATTAATTGGACTGTTTAATATTCTATGGGCAGTGGTCCTGGGCTGTGGGAAACGTGACTAAATCTATGAATATTTAGTGTTTTGTTTTCTCCAGCTGCAGCAGAAAATTATTCCTGACTGGGACCAACTGATGGCAGTCGCCCTGGACTGCATCTATAGCTGTGAGCGGAGTGACCAGCTCTTCCTTTGCTATGACATTCTTGAATGTCTGCCGCAGAGGGGATATGGGTAAGCAGCCACGCTTTGCCAGTCCTATTGTGTCTCTGTGTTCTCCCAGTTAAAACGAAGATGTGACTTCCCTGAATGTTCATCGCAGAGGATTTGGGGAATATAAAGAAGAAAAGGAAATAATCTGCAAACCTGTCGCCTACAGATAAAGTTTTGTTTTTTTAGCAGTATACATGGAGTGTTCCCTCCGTGGTTGGGACAGAGTTGTATGGGATGGCAGAGGACTTTTATAGCGGTTGCTAAACTTTCTCCCCATTCTCTGCCTTCACTGGCTTGTGCTGTGTGCCATACTGAACCTACCTTTTCATTCGTCTGTCACTTTTTTCATGACGATGGTTCCCTTAGTCCGTTACCCACTTACTTCCTCAGAAGGGTTTGCTTTTATTGATGGCTCTGCTTCCCCAGTGGTTCCTTCACATTGAAGTGGGTGCAGAGGGAATGATGGCATGAAGGAGTCCCAAGAATTTAGGATCCTGATGGAACCTACCTAGGGCCTCATAGGCAGCGTGGACAGGCCTAGGAGAAAGCCATCATGGGGGCCACACTTTATTGGTTAGAAGACAAAAATAAATGACAGTTTCCCCCTGGCCTTCTTAAAAAAGAGACTACAATTGATTTATAATTCTTTGCCTTTAGTTGCTCATATCTTGCTAACCTATAACAGAGAATATTGTTTTGTTCCATTATGTTTTATCTTAATTTCTTGAGACATGAAAGATACTGAATGAGTTCAGGAGGTAAGACCGAAATTCTACCTAGACAGTGAAAAATTGTGATATATTAAGTGCAAGGGAAGCATTATTTCTCTTTTTCACTTAAGTGAGTTTTGAATTTCATTTAAAAACTACTACTGGAATTTAATTTAATTTGTCTTAATCCTTTAGCCCTAAGACAGAGGTAACCACTGCTCTTCATGACATGGTAGATCAACTGGAACAAATTCTCAGGTGAGAACAGTGAGTCTGTGGCTCTGCTGATTAAGGAGTCTGTTTAAGAAATACCCCTTTAAATATGTCAGGATTCATTTCCACTTAGACCCTATGTATGTTTGACTCTTTTGCAAATGGCTTTTCTTGATAACAAATGTACTACTAGTTTATTTTACAAACTGCTAAAGTAATAAGATCATGGGCTTTGACAGCTGGTAGACCTGTGTTAAAATCTGGGTGTCACCACTTACCAGCTGTGTGATCCTTGAGCCTAGGGTTTTCGTATCTGTAATATCTAACTCATGAGGTTATGGAATTAAGGTTAGATTAAGCATTTAAAGTACTTTGCACCCAGTAGGTGCAAAAAATATATTAGTTCCTTCAGTAATGCAGTTATCAGTAAACAGTGTTCATTATACTCCTAACTTTTCTTTTTGGGCACATTTGATTGAATATCTGGATTAGAGTAAATTACACTAGAGTCTTTAAGTAAATGCAGTAATATTCTCTTACTGTCCAAATGAAAAATCAGATTGTCTCTTTCAGAGACTGAAATTTCCCAATTTGCCATTTAGGAAGTCTAATGTTGTTTATTATTACTTATATGTGTACGTAATTATGCTTGTGTGTAATATTTAAATATTTGTATTAAAAATAAAATTTTAGGAATGATAAACTTAGTTCTTTCAATGTATAATTATAGAAATTATAGACAATACCATTGTTTTACTATAGTAATTTGGAATCTACTAATTAGAAATTTTTTTCATTCAAATTAAAGGACTGTAGTGTAAAATATTTTGAGTTATATTTAAGGAAACATTATGTTTCTGTGTACCATAGAATGTAAGTTTAATGAAGAATTAACCGTTCAATTTCCTCAGGACCTCTATTTATTATTACCTTGCCTGATTTTTGTTACTCTGTGTTCTGAAAGTTATGCAGTTTTTTTTCTTGAGTGTTTAATAAATAAATCAAGCTTTTCTTATTATAGGTTGGCTTGTGTCTCTCCTTTTCTCAACCTCCCTGAAAAATTGAGCATAGTTGGAATAAAGTTCACTGGGTTAAGTCAGTACAGATTCATTCCTTACAAATCTGCATGGTTACCCTTTCTCCAATGAAACTGAGATGAGCTCCCTCCAAGATCTACATGAAATAAACAGTTTATTTCACCCTTTGTTGCTGGTTGTAACTGTGGGTGTTCCTCATAGTCACAATGTGCTCTCAGTGCCTCAAGGAAACAATTACATCCTGTAGGTTCTGGATGATACCCAGGCCTTCCACTGTTGAACTTAATTTACTGACCTTTTAAAATAAGAACTTTTTAGTTCTGTTCAATGGCAGGTGACATGACCCATGAAACCTGTCTTTATGAAGAGAGATCGAATGCTATCCAGCCTCTCTATCAGCCCAGTAGTGATTAATTCATAAATGTGAGAGCTGGTGAGACAGCCCAGGTGTGTGTCGGGCTAATGGTTATGGGATGGGTTATCTCAAGAAGATTCATAGGAGACCAGGAAAGTTTGTGGCATATTTCGTATTTTTATAGAATGGGTTCTTGAGAGAAGTTGAGCCTTATGATGTTTCTGTGGCTTTCCAACTATGAAATTCTTTGCTTATTCCTTTTTTAGCAGCCTTGCCTATAACAAAATACTCAATAGGATTGTTAAGAGTTAAAGTTGGGTATTGAAATGATAGAGTTGGCTTATTTTACTCACTTTGTGCATTTAGAGGACAGGAAAATTGTAGTGAAAGATTTGGAAAGAAGGATATGTTCTGCTTCTTAAAAAAAAATTTAATGTGTTACATCTTCCAAGTATATCATAGTAAAAAGTCAGTAGGGGAAATAAGATTTGATATATAATTATTAGCTTTTTTTGCCGAGAATTAATGTAATATATAAAATTGGGCCGTTCTATGTGCTGCTTTTTAAAAAAATAGTAAATACCTAACTGCTGCTTATATATTTAAGATGCTTAGACTTTGCTTGTTTGGTGGCAAGACTTGAAGAAGGTCTTTCACTTACAGTGTGTCAGAGCTGTTGGAGAAACATGGACTCGAGAAGCCAGTTTCATTTGTTAAAAACACTCAGTCAAGCTCAGAAGAGGCACGCAAGCTGATGGTGAGGCTGACCAGGCACACCGGTCGGAAGTGAGTCATAAAATTAACTGATGCTTGTATACTTGTATATGGTTAAAAATAAGTACTGCTCTTTGTCTTTTTTTTTTTTTTTTTTTACACTTCATTGAGCTATAAATGACCCACAATAAATTGTGCATATTTAAAGAGAATTTGCTAAGTTTTGATATCTGTTGATCCCCGTGAAAGCATCATTGCATTCAAGATAATAAGCAAATGTATAGCCCTTAAAGGTTTTCCCTCCCCACGGCTTCTCTCCATCCCCCATCCCCTCTTCAGGCTGCCACTGGCCAACTTCTTTGTCCCTATATGTTACTTTGCATTTCCTAAAATTTTGTGTAAAAGGAATCATATAGTACACGTTTTTGGGGGGTTCATAGCTCCTCCCATTAGCATGGTATATCTTTTAATTAATTTGTGATTTTGTATTAGAGGTATGTTCCTGTAGGCAGCATATAAGTTGGGCCTTCCTGTGAAGATCTGATTTGGAGAGAGCCTGGCTGCTAGGTGCTGCTTAATTATGCTGGGCTTGTAAGGGAATTAATGCCCATTATACCTGCCCTCAGCAATGCTAGCCCTGAGAGGGTAGGTGAATAAACCTTTACTTCCCACGTGACTCCTGCAGTAAGAGCCTCACTTGACAGTGGAAAACTGCTTATGTAATGCAGCCAGTATTGGCTTGCTCAAGGCTCTCCTTGCTAAGAAGTCCTTGTTTTGTATCTGCCTCTCTTCTTATCTCTCTCAACAGTGTACTGTAGTTATTGACTTGTGTGCCATAGCTTCCCTTCTAGATCATAAGCTTCTCCAGGGTAAGTGTCATAGTCGCTATACGTCTAATACAGGACCTTACATAGCCATGGCCCTCTCTCAATAATTATTGAGTAATTTAGAAGGTTTTGGCAACTTATACCTTAAGATTTCTTTACAACTATAAACGAATAGTATTTTGATCATGCCAGCTCTAGAACCTACTCTTCAGTCAGAAAGCTTTGTTGTTGCTGCTAGATTGTCTACCATCTCTCCATTGAGTCCCTCACATACCTCTGAAAAGTCCTGAAGTTGATTTCTAGTCCTGGTGGTCTGCTTCCTGCAAATGTGTAAGAGAATGGCTTCTTGTACAGAGTAGTCTGTGCTATGGAATAGCTTTGCCTTCCTCACCTATAGACTACTTTTCGAATCTATCACAGATCAAGTATCACCATCTTGAGTGTAATGCTATTTCTCCCTGGAAAATGCACCTGTATTACAAAGCTGTAACTAATACATAATATTTGTGTTCAGAGATCTCTGTTAATATGCAAACCTCCTTTAGAGTGCCTTCAGGTTCTTCTCTTGCTGTTTATTTACCAACTGTTTCCTGAAAAGGCCATTGTAAACAATGTCCTATAATCTGTTTTAATTAGAATCTGCACTCACGGCTGGCCATGTGTGAGAAAACAACAGTAGCATCTGGCCTGGTGTTGATGGCTCCAGAACAGCTGGGCTATGAGAACTTGAGTTCAGCCAGCCAGTGCCTGGGTCTGGTTTCAGGTGGATACTCACTTCATCTAACGAAGTTAAGCAGAAGCCCTGCTGAGGGTTGAGGGTGATGAAGATGGGATTTGAGACCAATTCTCCTGTCTCCAAGTGCTGCTTCTGCTAGATCACAGCTGCTTTATCTTCCCATGCTTTATTTTACCCCAGACACTCACAGCTTGTTTACCTGGGCCAGTGCTGTGTAGCACTCTCCTGGTTTTGTGTCTACATGGCCGATGACGGAGCCTGCCTTGGCAGCATCTCTAGCACAGATGCAGAGCTGCCCGAATTGTCCCTCTCTCTTTAATCCAGCTTTATTCATGGAGATTCATATAAGTGTGTTTATGTTGATTATTTGGGAACTTGTGTGGCATATAGAATGGGGGTACCAGCTTCCCCCCCCACTTTTGGCCAGTTGGGGCGATTTCATGATCTGTTGTTATTTTTTCCCCTCCTTTCCCCCAGGCAGCCTCCCGTCAGTGAGGCCCACTGGAGGATGCTGCTCCAAGACATGCTAACTATGCAACAGAATGTTTACACATGTCTTGAGTCGGATGCTTGCTACGAGGTAACTGCACGTGGAGCTTATTTCCTTTGTTGTTACAGATCGTTTATTGGAACAAAGGTGATGAGCATAAACTTCTCTATTAGTAGTTTAAACTTCCCAGAGCATAAACTACTCTGTTGACTAGTTGGTAATCGAGTAGTGTTTTATAGTTCGAGTGCTCTCCTACCTCGCTTCCCATCTTCTCTGTCTCTTCATTGCAACACCATTTAGTTAGTGGGTTAATGATCCTCAGCTGGGAAACCCTGAATCCTATGTGCCCCTCTCACTTCCTCAGATTTGGTAACTGAAACTTATTTAATGTGCCTGAGAAAAGTCTGTCCAATCATCCTGCCTTCTCTCTCTCAAACTGCACTTGATGCCTCTCTCTCTCTCCCCCCTCCCCCTCCTCCTCCCC